AGTGCTACAGTGCTGTATCTCCCTAGTGCTTCTAGTTTCACTAAAAATTCACTAACTCCAAGATTTTAATCAGCCTGAAGTTATATGAAAAATATTATGATAATAATTATCCCAACTCCACTCACAACTTCTCAAGCAATTAAAAAAATTAACAAGTGAATAAATAGCTTGTAAACCTATGCCATCGTTCACATGAGACCTGAATAAGGAAAACAAATAGAGCAAGTCCCGAGCAGCAGGAGCAGGGCACTGGGGTCAGCTGGAACGCAAGTCCAGGACTGCTGGCCGTCCACTCGCAAAGCCTCGGGGCACTTTCAGAGGAGCAGAAGCCAAACAAAATGACCTGGACAGGATCATTTGCTTTATGAGTCAAGCAGCAATAACAATTAAAAGAAGAAAATTTTAAAAAATTGGTGACAGTACAACTGAAGAGACCAAACGAAAACAAATGGTAGAATAGACAGGGAATAACAATGAACAGAATAACCATGGCAAGGCCCTGTGGTGAAGTGTGTCAGATGTTGCTGAAATGGCAGTACACCTAGTAAACTGTATTATACATAGTTTACCATATATAAAACATACATGTGTATTAAAGTTGAATTAAAATATTGCTTAAAAATTTTTAAAAATAAAATACTGCTTAAGTTTTTATTCTTAAATTAAAAAGAAAATTATTAATTTTTGTCAGTTTGAAAAAAAAAACTCATGATCTTTATTCCTTGCATTGGTCTGATTGGGTGGAAAGGACCAACTGGTAAACTAGAGTTTTGGTGGTAAACTCAATATAGTACATACAGATGTTGCTTCATAGTGATGCATGCTTTAAAACATTTGTCACATACAACTTTTAAATGTTATAACGCAATGCTATTTTTTAAAGAAATATTTAACACAAATTAATGTCTGCTCTTCTCTTGAAACCTTTCAGCAAGATTTCCCGAGCACCACTTGTAGGAAATACCCTGATGCTTGTGCTAAAATCCAGCAAGCATTGGGTTATGCCTCCCGATTATCTAAAATCTAATTCATACTATCAGTTTTCTAATTTTTTTTAATACTGCTTCCCATTTCCCTTCACTGGATTTGTTAAAAGAACATGCCTACAAAGTATCACCCTGCAAGCAATGATTATTTAGAAGGTACCACGATTTGGCTACATGAAGAGAAACTTGAAAACACGCACTTTGGGAACAGGGAGATGGCTCAAAAGTGGATGCACACTTTTCCTGCTGAAGCCCAGGCACCGGGGTCCAGAGAAGCAGCACAAAAGCAGCCACTACCTCGTTCCCCTGAGATGGTACAGCCCAACGACAATGGCACACGTGCATATTCTATTTGCTCTTGGAAATTATGACCCTTAACACAGGACTTAACTATTGACCAGAAAGGTTTATATTTTACCAAGAAAACATGGCACAGATGAGCACTTGTCAGATGGGCACTTCAAAAAAATTAATATTGAAATCACAAAGAGAGAACATTCTTTCTTATTTTTATTTTTTTCTTTCTTATTTTTATTAAGAATAATGAGAGAATGCCTTCAGAAGACAGACTTACGATCTTCAATAGTGTATATGTTTACTCTTCTACTTATGTTTGAGAATACATAAAAATGTATTTGGCTTCAAAAAGTAGTTTTCTATTGACTCATGTTCTGAAGTTATGGAAATATATCATTTGAAAGCAGACAAACTGGTGGAGAAATATGAAAAGACACTGGCAAATATGTGGTATCTTTAGAAGTTCCTCTACCAGTATTTTCAATTCTGCAGAGATTGGAAAGACTTCTAAATAAGTTACCAATTTAAACAAAATTATTATAACACCATGAAGTTGTTCAAAACTCAGCTGCTTCAGGCATTCAATATTCCACACCATTCCCACCACCTACTAGAGCTTCCCTCCACCAACTGTCCCAGTCTCCCAGCCCCTACCCCAGCCTGCCCCCTGCATGCACAATAAATTTACTCTGTATTCTATTGTTTGTTATAACACAAAGGCAAATGGAATTATCAAACATAAGATCAACAGGAGTCAGTCTGTTGTCATTGTTATCATTGTTATATCTCACAATGATGTTACTAAAGATATTTTCTGAGGATCCAGTGTGCTAGTTGAGCTTCTGTATTATTGTTCAGTCTCACTGAGCTTGGTGGTCTTCTGTGCAACAAACTATGATTATTCAGATATTGGCAGGCATATTCTTGAAAGTGAGCAAAGGAGACTATCATTTCAAAGAAAATAATTTACATTATTTGCTGTCATGTAGAAACCTTTGAAATTCCAACAAAAAACATTAAGGGGGAAATACATATTTGCCACCATAAATTTAACAAGATCCTGTTTTGATAAGATTTTCCCGATGGCAGGGCCAGAGTAATAGTACAGCAGGCGGGGCACTTGCCTTGCAATAGGCAACCTGGAGAGTTTGGCCCACATTCCATAAGGTCCCCCAAACCCTATGAGAAGTGATCCCTGAGGAGTGATCCCACAGAGTAAGTCCTGAGCACTTCTGAGTATAACCCAAAACCAAATACATATATATATATAAAATTTCCCCCCGTGATTGTTCTGCTGATATTATGATATCATATTATTTTTATAAATACAACAAAATGTATCTGCCTATCTCAGTGAAAAAAAAAGATAGTTTTATATATATATTTATATATATATAAGCTAAAGTCTTCTCTTTCCCAGCTGCATATATATGTATATATATATGCATACACACACACACACACACACACACACACACACATATATATGCAAGGTCAGATTTTCTTCATGTAATTCCATCAAAATTAGTGAATGTGTTAACCTTAGGCATCAAAACTATAAATGTTAAAAATATAGGAACCATATTACCAAAAGTACTATTTTAAAGTTTTTTATTTAAATATTTTCAGTAAAGGTGAAATATATTAGAAAAAAAGACTTGTAAATAATGAATAAAATGACTTACCATATATTATATGCTACTCTCCACCTTGTATTTAAGTCAATCTGTTTCTAACTGAATTCTACTTCATATAATCATTTTCACATTTTTAAAATATTGATCATGAGGCTACAGAAGGGAGAAGGGGTGCAAGGAGAAAGTCCCAGGCACGTCCCGCAGTGCACTGCACTCAGGAGCCCCAACCCCAGCACAGAGGAGTGTCATCTTGACAACCATACCCCAGCAAGGCAGACAACCCCGGGAGTCACCCCATGATCCCCTTGAGGAACTCTGGGGCATCCCGACTCACAAGAAATAAGAAAGGGCCAAGGAAATGAAGGGAGGGGAAAGGTGAATAGGAAGGGTGATGGGAGCACATAGTAACCATCGCCCTGAATATCCCTTTCCTAACATATCCACTGATCCACTGCAGAGGTAATTACTTACCAACCTGCAGGCAAAGAAACTTTGAGAAGCAGTGGAAAACTGTAAGCATTCATATGCAGAGCAACAACTGGAATAGAATTACAATGACCACATATGTACTAGAGTTTTGAAAGTTCAGGGGGCTGGAGAGATGGTCCAGTGGGTAAGGTGTCTGCCTAGCACTCAGCTGGCTAGGGCTTGATTCCCAGCACCAGCCCTGAGCACAGAGCCAGGAATAAGACCTGAGCATCATTGGCTGTGCTCCCCCACCCCCAAACAAACAAATAACAACAAAGACATACTTAAAAATCCAAATACTCTTATGACATGAAAAGGAAAAACAGTAATGAAAACAAAAACAAGTATGCAGGGGCCAGGGATACATCTCAGTGGCAGAATGCAAGCCGAGCACGGGAGGCTCTGGGTGAGATTCCTGTGATGCCTCCCCCCAAGAGCCAGTATGCAGGAGTGATATTAGAATATTTACTAACTGGTAAGCATGGGCTTCAGAGAAGAAAATGAACTGCTAAGTACCATCAGCAAGTCTGCACAGATAGCCTCCCAACAGCTTATAAGAAACCGGCCAACACCAAGGAGAAGTGATCACTTTCTGCGACCACTGATTCCATATTAAAGAGGAATTCTCATAGTACAAGTAATTAGAACTCTAATTATGACTAGCTTAGACATTACACTGTATTTATAAATCAAATCTGAGCCCAATCGAGGATCACAATAAATTTAGAAGTTAGTCTTTTGTTGGTACTTTCTCTTTCATCAGCTTTAACATTCCTCCACTTTCCCACAAATCCCCAAATTGGCTAACTCTTAACAGATGTTTCAGAGATGGTAAACAATATCCCATTAAAAAGTCTATCCTTATACCCCATTTGTAATGAGAAACAGCTAGCCAGGACTTGAGGACTCAAATTATTTAAACCATTTAAAATTCTGCTAACGGGAAATGGTCTAATTATAAGCCGTGCTAAACTTTACTACCCTACAGTGTAGGAAGCTCAGTGTTCAAAAAAGGGTGGACGCAGCTCTTCCTAGGCAAAGACAATAAACTGGACTGGCTGCACCACCTTTTACTTTTAACCCAAGGAATACTTTCAGTGCTTTCCACATCTGTCTTAACTTAGTCAAGTTGTTCACATTACTCTCTGCAGTAGATGGTAGCAGGGCTGTCAGCCTTTTCACACCTGCAGACCAGATGGAGGGAATGAGAATCACCACACAAGGTACTTCACTGAGGCATCGAGGTTAATTTCTCAGAGTCAACAATGACAAGAAGTCAGTATAATTCCAAAAAAAACAAATTTGTACTATACAGGTTTCCTTCAGATTAGATGACTCTGCTGACATTTAGAAATTAAGGTGTAATAAAAAAAATTAAGATTCAGTCATACTTACAAAAGCTACAAAGTACAAGTTTAAATACAGATGGACTAGCCTTAATTTTAAATAAAGTGGCAAAAGCAAATCGCACTATTTAATTTCTCTGAGGAAAACTGGTATCAATTCTAGCTATTTTCTTAATCTAAAATTAAAATTCTCAGGATACTCTCATTAGAAGCAGTTTCAGGTATCAGATCACAAAAAATACAATGTATTTGTCATCAAGACTCACCTTAAAAAAGGCAAACCACTTGTAGTCATTCAACACAATCTCAAAACCTTGATTGTAGATGATGGTGAAATGGCCGGAATTACCAAAGTCATCATATGCTGTATCCAATTTCTTAAGGTGCACTACTACTTTTTTTTCTGGCGGTCCTAAAGAAAAGAAAATGCACAAATAAGGGGGAGTTATTTGGACTTAAAGGGAAGAAAGTATTTATTCTCTAACTCACTATTTTTTCTCTCTTTTTAAAAAATTTTTATTAGTGAACCACCATGAGGTACAGTTGTAGACTTACAAATTTTTGTGCTTGGGTTTCAATTATATAATGATCAAATACCCATCCCTCCACCAGTGCCCATTCTCCACCACCACTGATGCCAGTAGCCCCCCCACTCCCCATCCCCTCATCCCCCCCTGCCTCTGTGGCAGGGCACTCCCTTTTGTTCTCTCTCTCTCCTTTTGGGTGCTGTGGTTTGCAAAAGAGGCAGTGGGTGGCAATCATGTTTGGTCCACAGTCTACTTCTAAGCTGCTTCTTTGGTGGTGTGTCTTCCCCGCACAGCACCACTGTTCAAAAGCGCAACTTGGACACCCTCCCCAACACCAGAGGGGTCTATGTCACGGACAGAAGTGCGACAGGAGCTGAGCTGAATCTTGAACTTCCCCAGAAGAGGCCTCCTGGCCCTCTCCAGCCCGCGTTCCTTTAGGACGGGTCTCCGGATTTTCCCACCTGGTGCAGCCCCGTCCGCTCTGGACCGCCTAGTCCCCGTTTCTCCCCCCAGATGTCAGCACAGCTGGCAGGCGCAGGTGAGAAGCCCAACACCCGCGGTCCCCAGGAGCAGCAGTAACCCCTGAGCACAGAGCCCAAGTAAGGCAGTGCACCGCCGAGTGGGGCCCCAGCAAACAAAACAAAAACAGTAAAAGTACTCTGCTTCTTTAGAAAGAGAAGACAGGGCCCCTCTGCCGTAGGCGGAAGCGCCCGTGACGCTTTTCTACACACGTGGCTTCCCCCACTAGAAGAAGCTGCTACTGTCCCGCTAGCGCTGCAGAAGCAAGCTGCCAAGTGACAGGGCCAGCCCCGCGTTCCCTCGCCGTCGCCCTCCAGACCCGGCTTCCGAGGGAGAAGGTCTGGGCCAGCTCACACACGCACGGGCCCTTGGAGTCAGAGCCGGCTCGGCGTCAGGTCGCGGGGTCTGCGAGAAGGAACCGCAGCGGGCAGCGGCACTCTGCCCGGCGGGACCCGGCAGACACGGCGCCCCGGCCCTTGAAGCTGTGCCCTCGGCTCCGCGGGGCGGTGCCGGGCGGGCACTGTCGGCTCCGGGGCGCGCAGGGACGCCGCGGCCGTCTGCCCCAGCGCGGGCCTCTGCGGAGGGCCCCGCACACGCCCGCGTCTAGGTGCCCGATATCCCCAAAAGGCAAACGTGAGTTTTACAGAAGACCCAGCCGGCGGCAGCCTGAGAGCCCAGAGCGTCGGAAGTTCGGCTCGGGCCGGCGGCACGCGGCCGGGCCCGGGCCAACCTCCCCGGCCCCGGCCCCGGCCGAGCCTCGGCTCTTCCGAGCGAGCACCCCGCACCCCAGACGAAGGGCTCCGGAGGGCGACCCGGCCGGCTTACCCACGGCCGAGCAGTTGGCCAGGCGCTGCCCGCGCGGGGCGCCCACCTGCAGCACCCAGGTGCCCAGCAGGTCGGGGTACGAGCAGTTGGCGGGCGTGTCGCCGCGCGCGGGGACCGCAGCACACAGGAGGAGCAGGAGCACGACGAACAGCGAGGCCGGCAGGGTACCCATGGCACAAGAGCAGAGCGCCGAGCCGGCACAGCTGAACCCGCGCTGCGCGCCCTCAAATAGCCGCGGGCCGGAAGGCACGGGGCGGGGCCTGCGGGAGTCCCGCCCCGCCCCAGACGGCCCGCCCCCTTCCGGCACGTTCCCGCCCCCGCCCGAGGGCCCCGCCCCGCCCGCCCGGCCCGGACAGGCCCCGCCCCCGCCCCGACGGCCCGGACAGCCCCGCCCCGCCCCCGCCCCGACGGCCCGGACAGCCCCGACCCGCCCCTCCCGGCCCGGCCCGGCCCCGCTCCGCCCTGCCTTTACCGACAGCCCCACCCGTCCTCAAAGCCCCGACCCCCGCACAGTCGCGGTCCCGCCCCGCCCCGCCCCGCCCGACGGCCCAGCGAGCCTGGACGGCCGCAGGTTCGACAGGTTCGGGACCTCTCGCTGCACCGCCCAGGTGTGGTGCGTAGGCCAGACCCGGAGAGGGCGGGGCGGGGAGCGAAAGGGCCTCCCTTGCAGGCCCGGCCTCCCCCAAGTGAAGACCAGGCGCGCGTGCCAAATTGGAAGGGGCTTCCCCTCGCGCCCCCGCCTGCCGAGGAGAGTCCCCCAGTCCCGAGCCAGAGGCTACTCCCGAGCCTGCTTCGGTCGGCTCCCGCGGCCCCACGCTCGCATCCTGGCCGGGGGCCCTGCCCGCAGACCCCCTCCCCCAGAGCCCCTTTCCTTCGGAGGATGCTCGGGTGAGAGCGTAGGCTTCCCTGCTTCACCACGCGCGGCGGGGCTCCGTCTGGAGTGCTCACGCTCCCACCACACGTTCTGGGGCCCAGGACAGAAATGAGTCCTGGGCCTAAGCGGCAACGGGCCCAGAACGCGGCCCGGGATTCAGACCCGAGCACTTGCTCCTGAGCGACGCGGCCCCTTTGCAGACAGGCTCGGGCGCCTGTGTCTGGCTTCCCGAGACTTTCCCCCTGGGCCAGGAGTGAAGCCAGAGAGCAGGGCGCCCAGGGCCTGGAGTGCCAGGAGCCACCGGCCCAGGCAGAGAGCGAGGGCCAAGGAGGGGGTCCAGGCCTGGGCCTCTGGGAACATGAGAAGAGAGAAAGAAGCAGGAGGACCACGCCTGGCCACCGGGAGGGACACACCTGCAGTCCGCAGGGCAGAGGAGAGGCAGGAGCCGGTGGAGGGAGCAGGAGGAAGCCGAGTCTGGGCTGGAGGGCAGGAGCTGCGGTCAGCAGAGCGAGTAGGACAGCAGCGGCGGACAGGGGAGATCGCTGCCGAGGCCGCTGCTACGGATGCTTGGGGCTGCTGCCCACCGTGCATGGTCAGAGCCGCAGCTGTCCCGACAAGGGGGAGCGCGAGAGTCTCCAGAGGGAAGGGAACTGCATGGAGCCGCTGCAAGGGGCTCGCCGCCAGTGAGATGCTTGACCGTTGGGCCAGGCCTGGCTCCACCGCGGGGCTCGGACTCCAGGACCCCTAGGAAAGACCCACCGCTGCAGAAGCAGGAAGAAGCCGTCGAGCCGCTGCCCCCGTGGCCCGGGTGGAGACTCCCACGCGCGGCAGGGTCGGCAGGATTGGGACTGATGATCAGGATGCTTGGAGCGGTGGCTCCAGGCTGAGGCCTGGGAGATCGGCTGGACCCGCACAGGGCCCTGCCAGTAGAAGCAGTCCCTGCACCACCCACCCGCCAATCCAGGTGGTCAGCTGGAACCATTTCCACACCGTCCACTTTAGTTAGTTCAGTGGGTTCTTGCTCTGGGTTCTTTTCATGCACTCTATTAGTTCCAGGTCCTGCACCAACATCGAACGTGAGAGATGAAGGGAGAGGGAGGGGAAGACGAAGAGAAGGGTAGAGTGAGGAGGAAAGATAAGAAAGTGGAGGGGAGAGAAGAGAAAGAGGAGGGCAGGGAAGAGGAGAGAGAGAGAGGGGGGTGGGGAGGGGAGGGCAAAGACAGATGACAAAGAAAAGAAAGCTTTGGCTGTGCTTATCTTGGTTTTAAGACCTTATCCAGTTTCAGTTTGGCAAAAGGAGTTGCCCTTGGCCATCAGAACTGAGAATTCTCCCTGACTGGAAGTGCTGCAGCCACCACCCTGTAAAGGGCTTTATATTCGCTTCCTGGTAATTAAAAACTGACATCATACCATTAGCAAGCTACTTAGACACTGACAAAACATTGTATTCCTGTCTCTGGGAAAATGTTGTCATTGGTTGTTAAACTTTAAAACGTTAAGTAGTTAAATTGTAAAACTTTTACAAGTTCATCAATATTCAAGATCCAGGGAGGTTGTAAACATCTCTGATGGGCAGCAAGTACTTAGTGCCCTGCATTGTCAGGAGCTTTTAAGGCAGCCTTTCTCCATGAATGGAAGGAGACCAGAAGCTCAGAGACATCCTAGTACAATGGATAGCACTGTAAAACTGTCCTCCAGGTGTTCATAGATTTGCTTGAGCAGGCAACAAATTGTGAGACTTGTTGTTACTGTTTTTGGCATAATGAATACATCACAGGAAGCTTGTCAGGCTTGGAAAATGTATGCCCGGAGATTTGGAGTCTTGTAAATGTCCTATTGCTGGGTAGTGAGGTTCAGAAGTAAAAAGAGCATGATTTTCAGTTTAGTTTACTAAAATGATCTCACTTTACTAAATGTACCACTAATCTGACAACTTCCAAGTTATACTCTCAATAATCTTTATTTGGAAAGGAAAATTAGTGATTTTAAAATTTATCGAAACTAAAATTTTACTTTTATGAGAAATATTTTAGAGACTTTTACTAATCCAAAATGTAATTCATACAAATAAATTACACACTTCATTTTTAAAATAAAATGTAACAAAATAAAATAAAAATATTTAAATAAAATGCCAATAGCCATCATCTAAAATGTTCATATGGAATCAGGATTGTTCATGATAAAGAGTCCCCTTGGGGCCAGAGCAATACACAGTGGGTAGGGCATTTGCCTTCAAATGACTAACCGGGGTTCAATCCCTGGCATCCCATATGATCCCCCAAGCGCTGCCAGGAGTAATTCCTGAGAGCAGAGCCAGGAGTAACCCCTGAGCATCGCTGGGTGAAAGCAAAAAAAAAGAGCTCCCTTGTAAATATGAGACTAGTGAGATCACAAAGATCACCTGTGTCACCACTCATACAGAACTGCAGTTCTAGCTTCTCTGCACTTTGGGATTTTGTAATCACAATGAAGCGGCACCACACGGGATGTGACTCTAAGCAAGCACCACAAGCAAGTGTCAAGCATTGCAGCCAAGTGTCCATACCCCCCCCCCCCCACACACACACACCCAGTCATCCCAGGAACAAGAGTAAAGAAGGGAAGCAAAGAGGAAAACTAAAATGTGAAAAAATTGCTCATCCACAAATGCACAGGAACAAAGAATGAGATATTCAGGTATTTGTGTATCATCTTTCTGCATAAAAGGGGAAAAATGCAGTTAAAGTATTAGGTACTTTGTCTCTAAGAAAAGGAAAGATTTTAGTAAGTTCTAATGCAGATATCTCATCAAACGGTTAAACACATAACTTTGTTTTCACTGATTCACAATTCTTGACAAGTTTCCCGTGGAACGAAATGCATTGATGTGTTATCAGAAGGGTGAAAAAAAAAGGAGGGTGGTTCATATTAAAATAATATGTGGGAAGAATGAGTTTTTTTTTGCAACAGTGAACAAAGTGTGAATGCGCACGTGCAGAGTGCTGTCAAGTTTAAAGGCATGGTTTTCAAAATGTAGTCCTAGGACCAACAAGATTAGCATCATTTGTACTTCCTTGGAATTTCTTACAAATGGAAATTCCAGAGCTGCATGCTATGTCTACTCAACCAGAAAATGTCTGAACAGGTCCCAGTCTCATTTCAGGCGATACTGTATCAGCTATAGTTTGAGCATCACCGCTTTCAAGATTAGCAGCAAGAATACTGCCTGAGTTTAAAGTCTGGCTCTGATAATTCACCAACTTTCTGTTCATTGAGAAATTTATTTTCTTTCTTTTGTCATTTGATTTTCTCACTTATAAAATGTGTACATTTATTGTCTGCTTTAGATTATGATTTCAGGAGACAAAATAGTTATTAGTGATATCTGTGATATTTGACTACATTTATTGTGCAGGAAATGTAAAAAGCTTTTCCTTATTAATTAGATTGCTGTTTTCCAAATCCTATTCCCCATTACTGTAGCACTTTGGCATGTAGTCCTGCAAATAGAGCCCTCTTATATTTGTTGAATGGGTAATATTATGGATATTTATTTTATGTATTTATCAAAAACATCATAATTTTTGTGTTCTCTCTTTTGTAGAATCACTCCTCTGGAATGTGAATCACAACAAAGATCTCAAAAGTAGTGAAAAAACTTGGCAATCCCTGCAGAATGTGATTAGCTAACATAGGCATTCTCATTATTGGTAGACATAGTAGTAATGTAATACTTTATTTACTATTTTACATGTTACTAAGGAAATTGTGACTAGATTAACTCATTTAATTTTTAGTTTATCCGAGATAAAACTGAGATTCTGAGAAATTATTAGGGATAATTATCAGCAAATTAATAGCCTTGAAGGAGAAAGTTGACAGGGCAGAAAGTTAGAAAGGGAAACATCAGACTGTAATGCTGTTCTGAGATCTTAAAGGGAGACTGAAGGAGGTTTGGGGAGAAAAATGACGAGGACCTCGTTGCCCAGGGAACTCTGGGTAATGACTCCCATAGACGAGCTTGGCTGGAGCAGAAACGACGGGGCCTGAATCGATGCTGTCCTTTGTGCTACGGACCTGGAAAACTGAGGAGGCTCTTGAGATGGCTACTCAGTTCATTAGGAGGCCACTCTCGCCCTGAGGATGTTTTATTTAAGGATCATGATATTCCCAGTGTTGGGACGCTGAATACTGACCGATAGCTGACCTGTCTAGCACCTTGAAGAGATCCCCAAAGACTGCACTCTGCTGCTGCCCAGCAGTGGGCATTGTCCCTCTCTGGCTTTCTGTCCGGTCTTCAAGTTCCCTAGCTTTGTCTCTCTTCAGTACCTGCTCTTTGA